TTTTCGTTCCTCTTCAGGTATTGTTAATGTCTATTTATTCTTTTCAATTCATTCGTTATACTACGTTAACAATAGTGAACGATAATCAAGACACATAGAAGATGCTGGACTATCGCACGGTGCATACTGCACGAAAGATACGATAAGACTTCTTTCTCTTTTCACACGCATCGCAAGCGCGAGATGGTAGGATAGTACTTTTATTCTCTTCTCCCATAGTAGCTGAGACGTCGATATGTACATGTCTCGTCTTTATGTACGTGTCTCATTTATTTAGTTTTTAACACTTTGATAGGTCTACATTTTGAGGATTTTTCGTATAAAAATAAATAAACTTAACAACAATTTGCTTTTTGTCCTTTATTATATATATTTTAAAGTCTATGAAAACCTTTTTTTTAATGATTTCCAGAAATCTATAAATACTAAAGTTGAAAAGTCGCGCTACTAGCAGCTGCAAATTTTGAGCTAGAAGAAAAACAAAAATTTTTTTTAAACTATATTAAATTTGCTAGGGAAGTACGTAGGAAATTTTCGAAATTTTGATTTTTGTGAAAATAGTGAAGATTTTTTGAAAAACATTCGATTTTAATGGAAAAATTGTAACTTTTTTGTTTATAAAAAGAAAAGTTTTTAATTAATTGAAAAATCCCTACGTACTTCCCTGAGATATTTATTTTTGAAGATGTACACCAAATTTAAAATAAATCGGTTAATATTTGTTTGAGTTATGTGTCTGCTAGTTCGGAAAAAAGTCGTTTTGAAAAAAACGCGTTTAAAGTTATAAGTAACTTTTTTTTTATATAAGTAATTTTTTTTATAAAAACGGTAAATTTAAATTTATCTCTAATCTGCTATTCCTGTCTCATACAGTTGTCCATTCAAGAAGAGAATCTTGTTTATTCTTTTCTTTTTTTGACGATTTATGCGTAGATCGAGCTTCTTTGGCCATCTCCGCCAACGAGCGCTCCGATTATTATATGCGTTGTTCGTTCGTCACCTCGCAGAAGTTATAGCAGTTAATGCCTATTTTGAGTCCTAATATTTGCATAATTTGCATTAAACTGCTCATCCCATCATTGTAAGTACAGACGAATAAAAACGCTGTAATATCCAATATTTTTCACTTGAATAAGCTTTTCGCGCAATGGATCAAACAATGGCATTAAAGCTTTCATTGTTGTTCTGTGTATATCCTCCTAAACAACAAGAAGATCATCGCTGGTTAAATCTTCATACACAGATTTAATTATTGAAAACTTCGTCAAACATAGCCGGTTTATGTGTATATAATAAATTTAAGATATTGCAAGTTTTTGTCTTTTGCCAAGAGCACCATGTATCTGGGCCGCTCACTTATCGTGCTGTGGCTTTTCGTCAAAATTTTATGATATAGCGTTGTCCAGATGTCATTTCGCATTTTCTCAACAGAATCACTATTTCGACAAATGGCTAATCCATAATAGAGGGACAATTCATTAATAAGCTTATCCGTTAATTTTCCTTTTTCGCCAAGTCCTTTTTTTAAATTTCTTACAACTTGCCAATTTCTTCTTTAAATTTCTTACAACTTGCTAGATAACTAAAAACATTATCTAAAGAGTTCCAAAATGTATACCTGCTTCTTCGCCGCTGCGCCCTGATTCAAGGCGCCGAAAACGCCGCAGGAAAGTTCAAAAAAAGAGAATAAAAAAATTCCTTTTACATATAGGATCAATTATATCTTATTTTTGAGACTTTAAGGGATCTTTTTAGCGCAAAAAAAATTGATTTTTGAAATCGTCAAGGTGGTGTTACCTCCTAAATTGAAATTACAGAATGCCTCTCCATCGCCCATTCCCGTGAGAATGTAATCAATATATCTGTCTTTCGTCTCTCCAAATTTCTCTTCTAATTTACAATTTTTACATTTACAATCTTCAATACCATCAGAACAAATGTTTTTGATTACAATCGATTTTATTACAATTAGTACCTTTCGAATAGACGCTTCTCTTATTAATTTTATTAGTGCCGTCTAAACAGATGTTTCTGATTATTTTTATTATCAATCAAAAAATTATTTTTCATTTTTTATTAATAAAAAATAAATTTTAATTATGTTCTATTTCTATATTTACATTACATTTGACATTTTCAGTATACTTATTGTTTTACAAACGTTTATTCTGAACTGTACAACATTCATTTATATAATTTCAGTAAGATTACATAATGGGCCCCTAAGACATCGTATTTCTCTCTTGCACTAACGTATAAGGCATAAAGAATGAACAATCAGAGTCCTTCATTTTTATTCCATCGAAATGAGAAATGATTATACGCATATTGTTGATGCATAGATCTTTTTGTTTGGCTTTGGATTGTAATTTTACAAGCTCAGTACTGTTCTTTAAAGCAATCCGAACTGCGGGACTATATCATTTTGCACATACAAAACTCTAAAATCTTTATATTATCAAGGAAACAGTATAGCGTGAACACAAACATATAATCTCAAGTTGAGCCGAAATTAAATAAATATTTACATTTTCTTATTAAATTAAACATCGCGCACATTTTTCTTTGTGCGTATTTTAATTGTCTGAAAGGATTTTGCAATTTGTAAAGCCAACAAAGAGTTTTTGAAAATTTTATCGATTCCATAGATCGTTTGTCCTTGTCTTTCCTCTGCAGTGCCATCTATCA